TTCTTGTAAGAGACATAAAGCTATAAAGAATTTTATATAAAGAGTAGGTAGGGCAAAGCTAGATAAGGTTTTATTGATTTTCTCTTAATTATTCGGTGAATAATTGTTCTTGTTATTTTCTGCTTTGATTCTTTTCTTTGAAACTTCTCTGAACGTGATTTGTTTTACAAACTGCGCCATAAACCTACTAAACGCATCATATTGTCATTAACACAAAATAATGCATACCATAGAAGGCTCAGCCCACGACAAATTAATGAAGGCATTTAAACTATGAGAATTTCTAAAAATGAGAATCAGAAACGTCACCACAAGAACCCAAAAACTAACTGGTTGACATTTCTCCAATCCCCATTGAATTGTCTCTCCTCCTACAATAACAATAACGTGAACATAATCATCATCAATAACAATGTCAGCATAGACCCAAATTTGAGTCTCTCACCAGCACTCACTATCTGCACCGGGAATAGGCAAGACCCTCGAGAGACATTCTTGGTTGTTAGAATCGCCAATCCCTGGAAGTCACAGGCATCCATTGCCTGGTTTTGCATTTGGAAATAAATATTGAATGCATACGATGTTTTCCATTTAATGTCCAAACCACTACATGACCCTCCATTGACAAGAGGCGTACAGTCTGCGTAGTTGCAGGCGAAGTCCATGTTGGCCGGAACCCGACTCATGTTCTTGATCTCCCTATCGAATACACACCACTGTCTTGGCAAGTACTTCACCCCTTTTGCAGCCACAAGGAGCTTATCGTGTCCTTCACCGGAGAAATCCATTCGGAACTTCGGCTTGCCGTCATACCGGAAGATGCCCCAGTGTCGCTCGAAAAACCCTGGTAAAACACTCTTCTGGTTCTCGTCAAAAAGACTGAACAGGTATATGTCCATCCGCCCGGCCCTCAGTGGGGTGCCCTTGTCGCTCGCCAACCTCTTAAACAGGCCATCGTAGAATCTCTTTGCATAGCGCACATTGGCATTCTTGTCTCCGTCCGTCGGCCATCCAATCTCGCCGATGATGATCTTCAGCTTGGGGACGCCGGCCTTCCTCAACGACCAGACAAGTGTGTCGTGGTTGGCATCGAGGACGTTGGTGTACTTGACGCCATTGTCGTAGATTGGTTTACTCCCACCTTCAAAGAAAGCAAACTCCATGGGAAAGTTGTCGTTGGCGTAGAGGCTAAGGAAAGGGTAGATGTTGACAACAAAGGGTGCTTTGTTCTTGTTGAGGTGCTTGACTATTTTGGTCATGACCTCCCTTATGTCCTTACGGAAGCTCCCACCTGATGGCTTCCCTGTTGAAGAGTCATAGACGTCTGCGTTTAGGGGGATGGTAGCTTTGATCTTATTCCCAACGCCGGCCTCGTCCAGGGCTCTCTGGATGTTCTTCAATGTTGGGAAAGTATGTCTGGTGAAAACACCATGATAACTCTTGAGGAATGGTTCATTTCCAATTGCAACGTACCTGTAAATTAAGGAACGTGAGAGAGGATGAAACAACCCAGAATTGCTTAATATAATTCTAGCTGGGTTAGGGTTAGGGGTGGAGATCTAGAGAGGAATTGAATTAATGTAGAGATGGTAGGAAGCAGGAAGCTGGCCTATTCGTTGATGAATTACTTGATATCAACGCCTCCCTTGTACAAGTGTGATGTGATATTCTCTTCCACCCAGTACTTGGCGCTATCATAGTCATTGCTAAATAGTTGAAGCTGATCATTCGGTATTGCCACCATGACTTGGATACCACTCCCTGCCAAGGAACTAACAGTCCGATAATCTGAATCAAACAACTTCACCTTCTTAATCCCATTATCCTTAAGCATTCGGACAACAGTGGTTGGGTGTAAGGGTTGGGACATGATATTCCCCCAATTCACTCCAATTCCCTGTGTTAGATGGCCGGAGAGCAGTAGTACTGAACAAGAGACCCATATCAAGACTACCTCAGCTCGGAGCATGGCAAAGAGGTTAAAGCAAAACAGAAGGGCTTGGATTCATGCAAGTTTTGGGAAATTTGGAGGTTGAAAATGTGGCAGTACTGTAGAGAGAATGTAGAGGTTTTCTAAAGTTGGGGGATAGACCCCTTCTCATTTTGGTTGGCATTCAAAAAGCTGTTGGTGACTCAACGGCTTTTTACCACTTCCTGCACCACAAGTCTGCTTAGGTTGGATCTAAAATATTGTAAGACTTCTTCTCAAGATGCAGAAGGCTGTGTTAGGGGCATGGTTTGAAAAACCAGGAACCGGTCACCTGATCGGTTCTGTTTTACCTCAGAACTGTCTTTTGGTAAAAAACTGTTGATTTGGTCAGTTAATCGTTGGCCCAAGTGGTCAAACCGTTCGTACTATCCAATGATTTTTGRCCGTTTCTTATTTGTTTGTCAGAACGGATCATCYATTTGGTTCAAATGGTTGAACCATTTGACCTGGGAACCGGGCCCCTGAACGGTTTGTTATGCGGTTCGATTTTAAAAACCTTGGTTAGGGGTTATTGCTCAATTGAACTGAATACATTAATATGACTACTTTTACTACACTTTAGTAATAGTAAATATATATACTATTATAATTACAATATTGTAATATTAATATACTACAAGGATCAAATTTTCAATATGAGAACCCGATACCGAGAATATCATATTGTATCTTTTGGTTTCCCATACATCCGTTTACAGGTGTCTTTGGGAACCCCTTTTTAAAAATTATACATATATATAATGTTAATTAATATTATATCAGGCCATGTTTGATTTGAAGGAAAAGGTAGGAAATGAAAAGGAAAGATAGGAAAATCTATACAAGATTTGTAAAGGTTTCCYTCCCTTTCTTTTCCCTATTTTTTCCTTCAAACTAAACATAGCCTAAAGTATTTGTGATGCAGAGGATGATGTGTGGGAAGTAGATCAACTGACTCACTTGCAAGTTACCAGAGTCTCGGTGGGTTGTAAGAGAGAAGAAAGGATCAGTTTTTATGTGAGATGGCTTTTAGAAGAAGATAGAAAATCCAAAGCTTTCATACTTTGGTGAGACTTTATTCATAGAATAAGAGATGAGAATGGGAAGCGGGTTTATTTTGAGAAAGTTTTGCGGAATGAGTAGGTGATAGATGATAATGATTTATTATCTGTCATTCCTTCTATATGGTGAGTGATGAAGACAATGCTTTTGTTGAAACCATTTGTGAGTGGTTTCAACAAGGCCAAGGACATCGTTAATTATATTTCGAGGTGAAAACATTAGCTACTTGGAGGGAGGTGGAGAATCTCCCTGGGGCCTTGGAGGTAGGGGTGTCAATGGGTTGTGTTTGGGCTGGATTCTGTCTAAATCAAAATCAATTTGAATGGATTGGGCCGTCCAATAAGACATATTAAATTGGATTTATCTAAATTTAATGGTCCAAAGTATTTATTGAATAAGACTTAGCTAAAATCTGTCTGTAGTCAAAGCTCGTCATCGATCAACTGCTTTACTGTTGACCCGTCTTGAAGATTGAAGAATATCATTGAGGAGTGTCATTGTGTTTGCGCTTGCTTAAGTTCAGGTATCACATTTCGTCATGCGTATAATAATATATCTGGCGATAGAGTTAGTTTGAACTGTTTGTTGTGGTATCTAAATTTCACTTATTTGTTTTTCTGATGTTTGGGGTTGTGTTATTTATGGTTTTCAAAACTGGACCGGACTGGAAAAACTGGGAATCAGTCAGGTGATCGGTTTTGGTTTTCCCTAAAATCGGAATTTTTTTAAAAACCGTTGATTTTGGTCAGCAAACCACTAATTCGGACGGTTAACCGTTTGAACCATTTTGACCATTTTTTTTGTCAGAACAAACCAACCATTCGATTTGAACAGTTGAACCATTTGTCCCTATAACCAGACCCCTGACCGGTTCGGTCTCCGGATCGGTTTTAAAAACCATGTTGCTACCCCGTTTTGTATAACACCTTCTGATCTATCAAAAAAATTGTATATAGAAATAGAAAAGTTACTTTAGCTGCCCATTCTCTGTAGCGTAGAGGGCAAAATTTTCTGTTGGGGACAGATGTTGGTGGCATTGTCTACCTAGATGGTTGGAACTTTATTTATGTAATTTCTCTTTGTTTTAGTTTTAATTAAATTTTGTCGTTTAAAAAAAAATGTATTTATTGGATGGATTGGAGCTGATTCATCTGTAATAGATTTATATTGGATTGGASCAGATTAAACCAATATTCAATTCATTGACAAAAGATAGGAACAGAGTCTTAATGGGCCGGGTTTTAATTGGATTCAATCAGAGTTGAGACCAATTCRAACAGATTGGATAGTCCAATAAGACATATCGAACCTAACCAATTTAGACTTTATTTATTGGATTGGCTAGTCCATCTATGATGGAGACTCATATTGGACTGGGTTGGATTGGATCAATATCTAGTCCATCGACAGCCAGCCTAGAAGTGGCTGAGGTGGGCTGGTGGCAAGGCTAAATGAGAGGTGAGGAGAGTTGCCTTGCGCCTTTGTAACATTGAAGCTGGGCAAAGATGGATCAGATCAACATCATATGGCTGAGGATATAATTTAGTTATGCCAGAAGAAGTTTCCAACTTATTGGCTTGATCAAAAAGATTAAGACAGAAGAAAATAATGGGTTGCATGTGAAGCTAAATCTTGTATTTTTACGTCTGTTAAAGTACTCGAATCAAATTTGGAAACAGTGCAAATGTTGATTTTATTTAAAACATGTTCTTAGTTTTAGTTTCAATTTTGAAACTAACAACCAATTTATTTTCAAACCAGATTGTTTTGATTCATTTTTGAAATTCGTGCAACTTTTCTATACTATAGAGTTACAAAAAATAATTTCAGTGTCCCATGGTGCAATAGTTTAGCTACCACATGAAACCGGAGGAAATCCTAAACCATGTCATATGAAGGTTTACTACGGTTCAGTTCTAAATGATTTATCCAATAACATGCATACAAGTTTATTACGTCCGAACATGAATGATGGATCATAAACACGTTGCGTTATTGATTCCTAATATGAATGATGAATCATCAACGCATTGCGTAGGTAGGTTGGTTTAAATTAACCACTCAAATCGTTGATACATATCGTACCGCATTGGTCATAAAATAAAATTGCAGCAATTAAATCCATTCCCATGATACACGAGTCATTGGCCATTTTAACAGTATGGCAATGTTTATCATTTAGGCCTTTAGGCCTCGATCGTTTTTCAAATGTTTCACTTTCTTGAGCAACACTTACCCTTGTTCTTTCAATTCCAGTGAAGTCAAATGATGAAAAATAAAATAGCAAACTCATCCCATTATGTTTTGTAAACATTACTAAAGATGTAAAGGTTACCCATCTAAAAGGTGTTAATACTTCCATAAAAACAAACTGTAAATCGGTCAGTAGGAATTACTTTTGCGTTGACCACCTCCCCCCTCTTATTTCCCCAAAAAACGAACAGGGCCTTAATAGTAGGGCCTAAAGTCTAATAAATTAGATGAAAAATGTACCCAGCTAACATGCCAATCTCGATTGGTCCCATTGGTGTGGTTGAAACCATAGAAATTGTGACATAGCAGAGTTTAATCCAACATTATAGATCAAATATGAAACATGGTTTTATAACTTTATTCACAGTAAAATAAATAACTTGGTCATTCATTCAATATACAGTGGCATGTTAAACTGTGATATAGCCCAGCACAATCCACGGTATATAGTCTATAGTGTAGATCAGACTGAAACTGAACTACACCCTCAAAGGAACAGTCTTTGACTGAAGTGGATTGAAAGAAAAAACCCACAAAATTTCCACAGTACCGAACTCAAAACTAGATTCCCCAGGTGGGGCTACGAACAGATCGGGTACTTTAATAGCAGAGGAAAAATACCATATCATTCAGAGGAAAAATACTAAATCAAGAAGGCTAAAATAGAAAAAATGTAGTTCCATCTGTATACTAGGCAATTCAAACAAAACTGCTCTCAAAATCACTAGAATTTCTTAAATCAAAACAAATCTTTAACAAAGGATGGAAAGATAGAAAAAAAAATACTTAGATTATACCGATCTTGTTTGCCACATCCAGTGCATCATAATCAGGTGTCAACCTCACATATGCCTTCTTAGTCCCATCAGGCCTGAAACCACAAGAATAATCAGAATGAATACAAACCACTAATTTGCCTGAAGAATGGAAATAATACAGTCTTTATATATGCCATAATCGCACTAAGAAATATCACACAAGTACTTGGATAAATAGGGCCTGCAAAATCATATCATAAAAAAATGAAAAAAGAAAATCATGCACAGTAAAAATCAATATTTTTAATGATTTTTAAATAGTTAATTTATGCAGCCAAAGTCCAAATTCTAGCAACAGCATTGAAACTTGGGAAAACAGAAAAAAAAAATCCTTATTAAATTATCATGAAACATTGTTAATGCGAAAATATCAACAAAGTCAACTTAAAGTTTATTCAAATAATTATAAATACATAAATAAGTGAAGAGGGAAAAACAGAGTACATTGTAAAAATGATAGCTAACCTGATCAAGGTATTCACTTTCTTGGTCTGAATGTCATACATCTTCTTCACTGCAGCCTTTATCTTCTTCTTATCTGCACGGATATCAACAATGAAAACCAGTGTGTTGTTGTCTTCAATTTTCTTCATTGCAGATTCTGTCGTTAGGGGATATTTGAGTATTTGATAATGGTCAAGCTTGTTCCTTGGTGGTGCACTAAGGCGAGGGTACTTAGGGTTCCTGTCCTTCTTCAATGTCTTTGGCCGATGAAATGTAACTGATGTTCTAATCTTCTTTGTCTTCTTCTTTATGGATGAAGCACCTGATTTCACGGCTTTGGCAGCCTTCAAGGCCTGTGCCTTGGGATCAGCCTTCTTAGTGGTGGCAGCTGTGCAAGAGACAAATTCTTAAACTATAGATTGCAAACAAAGAGAAAAATGCATTGCTAAGATTTGACATGGCATGAGAAAATAAAAGAGATTTCAGAAGATAAATCATTGCTAGTTGTCAAATCTTTTTCAAGGATTTTAAGTTGATTAAGGCCAGACTTCAACCCTGTGCACCTCAAAGTCTATAAAGGTTAAAACGGTGGGTACTTCAGAGGATTGAGCATCCAGCCCACCCATGAGAGAAGTTTTACAAGCTCCTGCAGATATTAATAATAAACGTGATTACTAATTATCTCCCCAACCACAATCATGTGTCAGAGAATTGCCAAACTTAAAAGTTAGAGATGAGCTTGGTCAAATATTGATATTTTCATCTATTATTTATATTCACAGTATACTATTATTTATGCATGTCTATAAACCCCACATTGTATTTTTATATTGTATGCTTGGAAGAAACTTATTTTGAATGGTAATTACATATGAATATAGCACTACAGACATTTAGTATCACTGTATCAGTGGTAGGCTCCAAAAAATGACTAATTGGCCATTGCCCTATTTCTTCTCAACAGATTAACTTGATACAGAACCAGTAGCAGACGACCAGAGAAAGAAGAAATGGCATACGCTATAGCCAACAGTTTTCCATGTTGGGTAGGAAGATGAAAGAAACTTCCAAATCAGGAAAAAGGAAGTTGCTTTTACATTAATGTTTTATCCATCCCCTTTAAAGCTTTAAAATTTGCTAAATTTTGTAGTTCTCATGGTGTCACATATCATCAAATGTCACTAAAGAAAATATTTATCAAAATCTTAATGCATTTTTTGTGGTAGATATCATATTTTTGTTTTAAGAAACTTCCCTTATACTTGATGGCATAAAATTATCTTGTACTTGTAATCTACACAGGGTGCGCATGAGAGTTGAGTCAGGATTTGGAAGTTCAACATTAAACATTTTATGGGATTGACTATGATCTTGAAACTAAAAGAAGCCTAAATAATCAGATGATTATAACCATCAAATATCCCTTGTTGTTCTCCATAGTCCAGAAAGAGGAGAAAGAACAGCTGAATGATCTAAGAATGAGAAGTAGTGTCAAAAATCAAAACAAAACACACACAATATCAATACATGATGGGACATATTAACCAGACAGTATCCATCAAATAGTAAGGAAATGCCATATGGTCAAAAATATAAAGCACTCGATTGGGAAAACATAGTCTCCCCAGTTTTCCTAGTCATAACTCTTAAAACTAAAATGAATTCATAATAAAGACAAGATATTCTAGGGCAGGTAGTGACTAAAGAAAATCTACAAGCCCAACCATCCTCTTACTTCAAGAATATGAAACAGGCACGTTCCTACCTTTAGCAGGAGGCGCCATTGGTAACTAAAGCAACTCCCTCCACCCGAAGTAGTCAAACCTGGCAAAACACAACCAGAATACAATACTTAGTCTACCAAACTGCAAGGATTCCGAAAGAAATCTCAGCTATGCATTTATCAAAAAAAAAAAATTCASCTATGCATTATATCAACTGGTGGAAACTCTGAAGCCCATAAAGAAACGTAGGATACAGTGGCATATTTTCCTTATTTATTTAAAATGCTTTAAGCGTATGACCTCATGGATCACAGTCCAATTGTACAGGAAACGATAAGAGGGAAACAAATGAACCAAACAGATAACAAGTATTTTACTTGTACTACGAGAGATTTCAAGCACTATTTGGCAAATGAATATATCCAGAATCCATTGAACTATGCGCAGGCCCTCATATTTCATGAAATGCCCCGTTTGCAGTGGAACCCTGATTTCACGGTAGCTAACTCTACCTTTCTTAACACCTGATATTCGAACGTGAGAAATGTTTTTGAACAAATGATGAATGATTTCGAGCAAGACAAGCATTCGCATTGATCCAAAAGCAATGAGAGCCAAAATGAAGATGAAAATTGGGGAAAAGAACAGTAAATAGTGAATGATTTAGATGGGTACCTACACAGTCAAGCCCCAAAGTAACCAAAACAAAAGAAACTAAACTGTCTAGACTAGTATCGACATTGAATCAAATTTGTACACAGAAGTGACGAAAAGATACTCATATAGACGCATGTAATTTCAAAAGAATTGAACTTTGCTCCCTAGACCTGCAATAGAATAGAATTCAAGATGGCGTGAGAGAGGTATAGAGAGAAACCTGGACGAGACGGGGCGTCTGTTCTGCCGCGGCCGTTCAAGCTTTCTAGGGTTTGAGTTGAGACGTCGAGGATGAACATATATAGGGGATGCAAGTCGGGCCAGGTTTGGTCGGGTAGACGTCAACCCTAGCCGGCTAGCTCAACGAGGACTTCTGAACCACCAACCCTAATTCTAAATCCGGGCCAACTTCCATCTGCACCCGCTCAAAAAATCCGTAGTGGGTTTGGATTTTGAGAATGCAAACCCTTTTATTTCATGAAAATGCATAATTCTTTCTAATCCTGTTCATGTGGCATTCAAAGATAGGGGTGGGTTAGGTTTAGAATCCGTATTTAATTTTCTATTATTTTTTATCATATATAAGCAATAAATAAGTAAAATAATATAAATAAATTACAAAATTCCTAATTATTTGATTAAGACATGTAAAAAGGCATATAAATTATCAATAATTCTTCGCATAAAATCCAAAAGATTATTAAATTCAACACATAATATTAAAGTTTATATGCAATCCAACAATAGGACAGGTTGTAGAATCCCAAAACTTAGCCTAATATTGTACCTACTCATACTCGTACRGGTTGTAGAATCCCAAAATTTATCCTTCAAGCAAAAAAAAACATCCCTATTCGTCGAAGTTAAAATTTTACACTGCATCAAACTTAGGCCCTAGGGAAAGGGGTGCAAGTCGGGCGGGTTGAGTTGGATTTATGGCCAACCCAAGCCTGACCTGAAAATTTGGGCTAAAGGCCCAAGCTTGAGGTCAAGCCCAATCTTCCCAACCCAAGCCCAGCTCGCAATATAATTTGATGCACTCGGATTGGATTAGGGCTCAAGTTGGTCAATGAACTCATTCTGAAATTATACATATATTTATGTATATTTGTAAATATGTATGCAAAATATGTATATATATACAAATATGTATGTATATATGTAAATATGTATGCAAAATTTACATACATATACTATATATAAAAGTGATGGCTAAGTAATTCAACTATTCGAATAAAATTCATAAACCTATGAAGTCATAGTTAGGTATTAAAAATTTTTAAATATAAATAAATATAGAAAAAATTAGACACATTTATGATACTTTTATTAAGCAAATTAAAAAAAAAGTGTAATAAAAAGAATTACTTTTATTGATAGTGGAAATGAAATACATACTTTAGAACTCACCAAAAATGAAATTCTTTTACTATTTGGCAAATATCAATAATTCAACTTTTGGGTCAAATGTATCAATATTTAATGTCATAAATACAAATAAAAATTAATAAAATATAAATACAAAAAAACATTAAAACATTTAGGCACATGTATAATATTAATTAATTATCATATTAAACAAAAAGTAAATGTGACATATCAGAATTATTTTTACACAAAAACATAAAATAAATATACAAAAATTTGAACACATCTATAATTCTATATTTATACTATTATTAAAAATATAAATAAGATTGTGGAACATTCTTTTGGTTAAAATCAATGTTTTAAAAACCGGCCCAAAAACAGAACCACTTTGGCTTCTGGTTTCCGAGTCAACAGTTCAACTATCGCTACAACATCGCTTACCCTCTTCTTACATCTCTCTCATCTTTCTAAATCTTTCTCAAATCATTTGAATCATTGGTGTATCTCATATTTTAATATAAGATTAGTGTTTGATCTCGCATCTTCTGCATCAAATTTTCAACTTTGTCATTAGAGTTGCAATTTTTTTGTTGTTATAATTTAAAAAGAATCACAGAAATGAGAAAACTCAAAATCAAAATGGAATAACTAAAAACCCTAACTAATTTTGGCCATTGGGAACAATTGAACAAGATTTAAAGATATGAAAGTTTCTTTTGTCATTTTTTTATTTTCTAATTTTTATTTTAAAATAAATAAAAAAATTGGAATTGAAAGCAACTCGAGAATTGTTAACCGGGTCGAATGTTTTAACAGTTAAACTTCYTGATCAATAGTTCCTTAACCATTTCAACGTTTTTTTTTTTTTTTTGTAAAATAGCGGTTCATGGCCAAAATAAAATCGATGACTTGACCAGCTCCCGGGCCAAAACAGTTTGACTATCTGATCTAATCCGATTTTGAAAACATTGGCTAAAATACTCATTTTTGAATTTAGTCCCTATTTAATTATAAGATTTAAATTGTAAATTAAACTACTACTTTTCACTTCATTCAATTCCCTCTATTTAAATCTTACATTTTTTTGATAAATAAACAAAAAAAAAATCTATACTATATATAAAAGTGTAGATGTAGAGTGGAAGTTTTTTTAGACTAAATTACCCTTTATTTCTTTGTTTGATAAAGGGTATGAAAGTCATTTTATTACAGCTTTAATGCCAACTTTTGATGACTACTAAAATGCTCATATTTGTCTATTTATTACATTTCTAATTGTAAGCATTGAAAATGTAACTTCAATTATTACTTTCTACGAGACCTAGCAATTGGGTTGGGTGGGTTGGGTCAAGGTAATTCGGGTTGATTTCGGGTTGGGTTGGATTTCAGATGGGTTGTCAAATGCTAAACTTTAACCCTAAATGTTCGGGTTAGGGTTGACCCATGGGTCAATTCGGGTCATCCCAAAAAATAATTGAAATTTAAAAAAAATAAAGACAATTTACATGAAAAATATCAAAATTAAAAGAATTAACCTTAAATTTCCAAATATAAAATAAAAAACATAAACATTTAACAATTTAAAGAGTAAACAATAAAAAGTAAAGACTAAATAGAAAAAATGAAAGACTCGAAACTTCTAACTATGCATAAATAATCCCAATTAGACTTGACAATCGGGTCAGCAGGTTGACCCATGACCCAACCTAACCCAACCCAGTTTTTTTCGAGTTGGGTTGGGTCGGGTCATTTTCACATTCGGGTAGCTAAATATGAGATCATAACCTTGTTTTTTGGGGTTGGGTTGGGTTGGGTTCGTGGGTTGGGTCAACTTTTTGCCAGGTCTACTTTCTACCTCATTTAATCCTCTTTCATTAAGTCTTATACTTAAAGGTATTAACTCCCGTTTTCTCTTATTAAATCGTATATTTAATTTATTTTTCACTAATAAATGCTACTAAATATATCTATATCAATATTTTTAACAATATAAACCCATATATTTTAAAACTGGCTAAAAAACAAAAAGATTCTTTATCCAAGTAATGGATAAGTAATTCAACCATTCAAATCAAATCAATAAACCTATGAAGTCATACTTAGGTAAAAAAATTTAAATAGAAAATAAATATATAAAATTACAAAAAATAAAAAAATAGACACATTTATGATACTTTTATTAATCAAATTAAAAAATAAGTGTAATGAAAAATAATTTTTATTGATAATAAAAATGAAGTACATACTTTATAACTAACTAAAAGTGAAATTCTTTTACTATTTGGCAAAAATCAATAGTTCAACTTTTGGGTAAAAAATGTATTAACATTTAATGTCATAAATAATTAATAAAAATTAATAAAATATAAAAATACATACATGTTGTAAAAGAAAATCAAACACATGTATAATATTAATTAATTATCATATTAAAGAAAAGTAAGTGTGACATAACGGAATTATTTTTACACAAAAATATAAAAAAATATATATAGAAAAATTGAACACATCTATAATTCTATATTTACACTACTATTAAAAATATAAATAAGATTGCGGAACTTTCTTTTGACTAAAATACTAATTTTTGAATTCAGTCTCTATTTAATTGTGAGGTTGAAATTGTAAATTGAACTACTACTTTTCACCTCATTCAATTCCATCTATTTAAATCTTATATTTTTTGATAAATGAACAGAAAAAAAAAAAACAAAATAAAATAAAATATTAAAAAAAAGAATCTAACCAAGTAAATAGACCTATCAATGATGCTTGAAACTTCACAACTCGATTTGATTATCACATATTTAGATGAGATGTTTATGTAATCAGATTTAGATTTTGTAATATGAATCCGATTAATAATAAAAAGCAAAGAACATATAAAAACAAAAATAAAAATATATTTATAGAAATTTTTGGATACATTATTACTATCATTATCATCATCTATAATTACCACGTGCAAAGCATGTACATGCTTACTAGTATGTACATATGTGTGTATAAATATGTATAGTTGGGTCAGGCTCGAGCCAGGTTCGTGCTACCTAAGGGGAAGGCCCAAGCCCAGCCCAAAAAATAAAAAAGCCTAACTTCTTGAGCCCAAGCCCGGCCCAAGGACCGAAAATCCAAACTCAACCCATATAAAATTTTAGGCTAGGCCCGCCCAAGTTGCACCCCTACCTAGGGCCATTCAAATTTTGACAATAGACCAATGCGTGCCCACCAAGTTCCACGCCTAAACCCAATCGTCCCATCTTATAAACCAATGCTAGAGGGGCATGTTTTGAGCAAATGGTGTTGCATTGGCATGTCATTTTCTCATAAAACGTTTTTTTTTCTTTTTTTTTCTATTTGGTACCATTAGTGTTGTTGCCACATAGGCATTTTCCAATGTCATGTCAACATATTGTTGCTAGCAATAGTTAAAAAACAAGAAAACACCAAAAAGGGCATTTCCTTATGCCACACCTTTCCCAATTTCCAAAGCATGGTCTAAGAAAATGTTTATTTGGAAAAACTCATAACCAAACATCAAGCATTTTCGAAAAAAAAATGGATTTCAGACATGGCACTAATGTGGTGTCATTTTACGAAGAAACGACATTGGTTCCAAACACTTACTTAATCTTTAGCAAAGAAACCCACTTTAATAACCATAGATTGACCATGTTGAACCGGGTTGTAAGCAATGTTAATAATAGCCTGGTTATCACAATATAACATCAGTGGCTTGTCATGTGTCTCATATCATCAAGAAGAGATCTAAGCCATAACAACTCAGAAACCTCATGGGCCATAGCCCTATATCCTGCTTCAACTGAAGATCTAGCAACCATTGTCTGCTTTTTACTCCTTCAAGAAACAATATTCCCAGCTAGACCTGTTCATGGGTTAGGCCAAGCCAGGTTTTGCCTCTGTATCAACTAGAGTATACTCAGGCTTGAGCCCG